TTCTGTGGCCATTCGCCGTCACTCCCCTCCCGTCGGTTGTCCCGGTCGAAGAGTCGGCTATCTCTGGCGGCCCGCGCCGCAGTTCTTGCCGCCTACCTCTCCCCCGGTATCTCCTCATCCGCCGTCGCAATCGCCACCGCACCAGCCACCGCAGCCGTCGTTGCAGCCGCAGCCGCAGCAGCAACAGCAGCCCTCCGTGGACTCTGCGGGTTCTTGCGTTGAGGAGGGTGCTAGTCCTGGGGTTCCTGTCGTGGCTTGTCCCGGCTGGCCTGAGGGTGGCACCGGTGTCGGAGAGAGTTCTCGCTCTGGGGGTGCTCGTTCAGGGGTTGCTGGAGTGGAATGTTTTTGTGGTAGCCGTGGTGCAGCTGGCAGTCCAAGTGTCGGCGTCGAGCAGCAGCAGCAGCAGCAATCGGCGTCAGTGTCCGCCCTTCGCCTGCTCGGCCTTCCCTCCCATGACCGCTCGCCTGCGCCTTCCTCGACCCCACCTCCTCTTCCTGTCTACGGCCCTGTATTCCCTCAGCCGGACTTGTCTCCTGCTCGTCTTCCTCCTTGTTCCCTCTTGTGTCTCCTCCAGTGTCTCTTGACCAGATGCCTCCGTCTCACGTCTGGTCCTACCGTCTCTCTCGTACTTGTCCTATCTCTCCTACTCAGCGCTCTCACCCCATGTTGCTTCGTTCTCACGCGTCTCGTCCTCCTCTCCTGCCTTCGCCTCCTCCGTCGTCGCTCGTTGTCGCGCCTCCCCCTCTGTCTGACTACCTTTGTGCCGCTTGTCCTCTTGTTCCTCGGGTCCTTGCCTCCCTCGTTATTGACCCGTCTGTTCCTGTCTCGAGTCTTGACGCTCTTGTCGCTGCTGGCGCTGACTTCGCGGTGGCCTTCACTACGCCACCGCTCTGGTCCGTGACCCTGTCTGTCCTCCGTCCGTCGGAGGTGCTCGTGCCTTGCAGTGACGTCCTAGAGGACAGGTAGTACGAGCTTGCTTTCCTGTCTAAGGCTGCTCCCCATCTCTGTTCCATGCTGCTAGTCCCAGAGGGTGACCCAAACGCCTTTGACATCCCGACCACTCGCACTTACGCTGAGGCGACCTCGAGGCCCTGGGCCTCTCAGTGGATAGCTGCCATGGAGCAGGAAATGGCATCTTGGAGATCCACCGGCACCTACGTCGATGCAATTCCCCCACCTGGGGTGAACGTAGTCGATGGCCAGTGGCTCTTCAAGGTGAAGCGCCCTCCTGGAGAGCCTCCTGTGTTCAAGGCGCGCTACGTGGCTAGAGGCTTCAGTGAGCGCGAGGGGGGTGGACTTCTTTCAGACCTTCGCCCCGACCCCAAAGATGACTATTCTTCGGGCGTTGCGACACGTAGAAGCACAGCGTGACTACGAGTTACACCTCGCTCGACTTCTCCACAACGTTTCTCCAGGGTAGTCTACATGAGCAGATCTATCTACGCCGTCCGCAGGGCTTCACCGGTACCTTTCCTCCTGGGACCTAGTGGCTCATCCGGCGCCTGGTCTACGGCCTGCGACAGGCGCCCCGTGAGTGGCACAACACGCTAAGTGCTACGATAGCTAACCTGCAATTCTTTCCGTCGTCTGCAGACCCCTCGCTCTTCGTTCGTGCTTGCCAGACTCCGTTCTACATCCTTCGCTACGGAGACGACGTGGTCTTCGCTATTGTAGACAGAGATGCACTCGCCTCCGTGAAGGCCGAGGTGCTGAGGAGACACACCCGCACTGACCTAGGAGAGCTGCACCGCTACCTTGGCCTGCAGATCTCCAGGACAGAGCAACACGCACCATCAATCTCACACAGTCACAATTGGTGCGCCACGTCCTTCAGAGGTTCGGTCTTCAGTTCTCCTCCGCACAACCCACACCTCTGCCAGTAGACCACCGGCTCTCAGCTCCAATTCCTGAGGAGTCAGTAGAGCCCAGTGGTCCTTACGCAGAGCTGGTGGGTTGCCTCATGTACCTGATGATTTGCACTCATCCAGATCTCGCATACTCTCTCAGCATCCTGGCTCGCTTTGTGGCCACAGGAAGACAACGACCACAATACTCGTCGGCCGCTAAGAGGGTTTTGCGTTATCTAGCAAGTACATCGGCCATGGGGCTAGTGGTGGGAGGACGCAGGCCAGTGGTCCTTACTAGTCACACAGACACTTCATGGGCAGACGACGCTGAGACCCTCAGGTCCTCCCAGGGCTACTCCTTTAGCCTTGGTTCGGGTGCCATCTCGTGGAGGTCCACTCGCTCCTCGTCTGTTGCCCAGTCTAGCTGTGAGGCTGAGTTCTACGCCGGTGCCATGGCGGCACGGGAGCTCCATTGGCTGACCTTCCTGCTCACCGACTTAGTTGAGCGGCCTAGCTCTGCCCCGATTCTATACGCTAACAACAGGGCCATGATTCTCTTGTGTCAGGAGCCTCGACTTGAGGGCAGAGCGAAGCACATCCAGCTGCGGTACTTTCTCCTGCGCGAGCTAGAGCAGTGTCGCCAGGCCCACGTAGTCCACTTGGCCTCCGTTGCCAACACAGCTGATATCTTGACTAAGGCGGTTGCGCCTAAAGATCATCAGCGGCACTGTTTGCAGCTTGGTCTAGTTCCTGTAGGCTCTTCGTTGCTAGGACCTTGATTGTGTACTCGTCTATATTTGTACCTTCCAGACTGGCCTTGTGGCTTCTCTTCCAGTGGCCGGACTAGTAGTGCCGCCCTGGTTTGCTCTTGTCTTGTTTGTACTCTTACTAACTGGTCTTCGAGCCCCTGACTCAGAGGTTGGACTAGTAGTGCCACCCTGAGCTGCATGTTTCTTGCTCATCGCCGCCCCTTATCTAGCCTAGGGGGTGTGTCAACTTATACGTATATTTGTATGTAGAAGTTATAGGCTAGAGTAGTGTATGTTCTTAGAGGGTACAACTCCAACCCTATATCTCCCTTGTTCTCACCTGTTCTAGTCATTCTTGTATTCTAACAGCCCTATCTTAACATGGTTTCGGAGCAGGTCCTTCTGCTCGGGCCTGCTCATCACGCTTTCGCAATGTTCGCTCCTCCCTCGTGTCCTTTCTGCGCCGCCGCCACGGCCATGTCGTGCTGCAGTGACGGCGTCGTCGTGCTGCTGTGGCGGCGTCGACGCGCCAGCGCTCGGACGGCACGGACGGCAGCGGCTAGCGCCCGGTCTTAGTGCTGGCCAGCACGCCCGCATTCAGTCAGCGCGCCACACGGGGCGGCACGCTCCCTGGCTCCGCTGCCGAAGCCCCCTTCCCCTGCATCCCCTTCCTCGCCGCGGCTGATGGCTGACTCGCGCGGGCCTTCCCACCGTCGTGGAGTCAAGCCACGCCGCCGAGTGCTGCGAGCTCCGCCGCCGCCGCAGATTGTGCCGCTGGCCTCGCCGCCGCACGCCGCCGCTGCCGCTGCTGTCGTCGCTGCCGCCGTCGCCGCCGTTGCAGCCCCTGCCCTCGCTGCCGACGTCGCCGCCTCGCACGCCGAGGGGTTGACCATGCTTGAGAAGCCGTCGCTGCTGTTGAGTATGGGGGTGCTAGGCTTAGGCAGTGTGTGGGTTAGTGTGTTGTGTGTGTGGTGTGTTTTCTTTTGACCTGCATTACTACTAAAACCAATGGACAGGCTAGTAGTACAACCCTGGTCTATTCTCTGCGTATCGCCTACCAAGCCTAGGGGGTGTGTCAACATATATATATATATATATATATATATATACATACATATATATGTGTGTGTGTGTGTGTGTGTGTGTGTGTGTGTGTGTGTGTGTGTGTGTGTGTGTGTGTGTGTGTGTGTGTGTGTGTGTGTGTGTGTGTGTGTATAGGCTAGGTAGGTGTACTGCATTTCCTTGATCCTACTGTAGTGGGTACAACCCCCTTCTTGTATCCCTCTCTCTTCTAGTCCATCACTCTTCTCTCTGTAGTGGACATTTTCCCCTAGCCTAAAACCTCACGCTACTTTCCTATGCCTAGCTCCATCAGATACATTAGTGAATTGAGGCACCTCATCTCCCCACTAGATTGCCTCAGCAATTCGATGTTGTGCAGACAGCACAATAGCAAAAGGAAGGGCCATTACAACTAGACTAGACAACCGAAAAGTTATGCATACACACAATCCACGTCAACCTGCAGCACAAATAACCATCGTAGAAGGACGCCTTTATTATATCGATGTCCATGTGCCATTGTTCTTGACTTTTGTCGGCAAGAGCACGGTATCGACCCCATGAATGACGATTGACGGGGTTATGTACATGTTTGGAAGCACCACTCGGGCCCCCCAAGAGTCATCTGCCTTGGATATGCGCAACGAAGAGTCAGTCTGGTTCTTCTTCAACGGAATCTTATCGAGTGTTTCCAGCTGCGAATTGGGGTTTGTGTTAGGGGCAAGAGAGGGAGAGTGGTCGAATGAGCGAAACTGGCAATTGAGATGGTGAAAATGAACGACATGGGAGTGTGGGGGGATGGGGGGATATCGGGGCAGGTGAGAGCTCACCAAGAATCCATTCCCAAGGGCCTTAAGGTCGTTGAACTCCATCCGACGTGGCAGCACGTGATAGGCCATCACCTGCCACAGAATGGCCTTCTTCCTCTGCAGTCCACCGAAGCGTGTGTTCTTGGGCATGCGGAAATACGCTCCATTGGTTGGTGCAAATATCGTAACGTTGCCGGTGAGCAGTGTATTCATAAGTGTCTCGTTCAAACCTGGGGAATTTGGAGCAGGCAATGGGGGGCAAAAATGGATAGATTAGAAACACAAACAATAGGATAGCAGATTAAGAGGACGTTGCATCCAAGCATACGATATGAGTCACACTACAGCAAGAGTATGAAAATGGTGTTATGAGATTCAGGTATCACTTGAGATTTGTGGGAGGTTTAACTCACCGCTTGCTCGGATCCCCGTTGCAGCTCCTGTGAATTTCCGCTCGTACAAAAACCTTAAAGCCTCGTTCACTATGGCCAGTGTTGCTTGCTGCTCCGCCGTCAGGTTAGACTCCGGCGCTCCGCCTGGCGCTTGGCCTCCGGAGCCTGCTGCTCCGCCTCCGCTGGTAGCTCCGCCCCCTCCGCTCGACTGCCCTCCGCTGCCCGCGTCCCCTCCGCTCCCAGTCTGGCTCCCCGTCCCCCCGCTTCCCGTTTGCCCACCGCCCCCCGTCCCGTTCCCCGCCCCGCTCCCCGTTCCGCCCCCCCCTCCGCGGACAAGATCCCCGCCGTCCCCCGAGGACCTTCCCGACTTAGATCCAGCGTCCGTTCCCGAGCCAGCGCCTGTCCCCGTGCCCGTGCCTTTCCCCGCGCCAGATCCGGAACCCCTTGAGCTTCCCGCCCCCGTCCCCTTCCCCTTGCCCGCGCCGGTTCCCTTCCCTGCACCTGCACCCTTGCCCGTCCCCGTCCCCGTCCCCGTCCCCTTCCCCTTCCCCGTCCCTTCCCCGTCCCCACTCCCGTCCCCGTCCCCGTCCCGTCCCCGTCCCCGTCCCCGTCCCCGTCCCCGTCCCCGTCCCCGTCCCCGTCCCCGTCCCCGCCCGTCCCCGTCCCCGTCCCCGTCCCCGCCCCCGTCCCCGCCCCCGTCCCCGTCCCCGTCCCCTTCCCCGCTCCCGCCCCCGTCCCCGCCCCCGCCCTCGTCCCTGACCCTGTACCTTTCCCCACGCCACTACCCGTACCTTTTCCCGCGCCTGTCCCCGTGCCTTTCCCCGCGCCTGTCCCTGTACCTTTACCCGCTCCCGTCCCTGTACCTTTCCCCGCGCCTGTCCCCGTACCTTTACCCACGCCTGTCCCCGTACCTTTCCCCGCGCCTGTTCCTGTACCTTTACCCGCACCTGTCCCCGTACCTTTCCCCGCGCCCGACCCCGCGCCCGTCCCCGTCCCTTTCCCCGCGCGCGTCCCCGTTCCTTTCCCCGCGCTCGCTCCCGTTCCCTTACTCCCGCCCGTCCCCGCGCCCGACCCCGCGGCCGCGCCTGTTCCGGCGGATTTGCCGGTGCCAGAAGTTTTCCCCTTGCCGGCCGCTGCCGTCATCGCCATGAGATCGATCGTGCGATCTGAACCGTCGACAGCAGACGCGGATTTCACGGATAGGGGGGAAGCAGAAACCAGCTCCGTTCCTACACCGAGGTCGGTGCTCACGCCGAACGACGTGCTTATATCGAGAGACTCCGCCTGGACGGGCGTTCCGCCGGCCCAGTTGTCGCGCGAGGAACTGTCTGCTGCTGCGGCGGTGGCGGCGGGAAGCAGCACCGACGCGACGAGTGACAGGAGAAGGAGGAGCGGGAGCAAGGCTGGCGGGGTTGGGCCGAGGTAGAGAACGTCACGGTGGATAGAGCGTGACTTGCGGCCGCCGCAGGTCGGAATGACGAGCGTGGGAAGTCCGCGCCGCGGATGCATGGAAGTCATCGCCATGGTTGTTCGAATGATGTCACGGAATGCGTCAACGGAGTCGTGCACTCGGTGACCGAGTCGTTAACGGAAACTGGCAAGTGGGTCGTGGGACGTGGGAAGCTGGGTCAAGGGGGCTGCGTCGCAAATCACTACCCAATGAAAAGTGGGAGGCAGTCACTACCGGATTCCTCGCTGAGGAAAAAAGACAAGTTTCGACTACCGGGTCGACTAACTGACTGTTATTGAAATAACGAGCAGTCCTTTTATAGCGCCGTCACGAGCCGATACGCCGACAGTGGTCAGGACTCAGGATACGCCGATTCACCGACAGTCACGCGATGAGTGGTACGCGAAACGTCGCAGCCGTCATTTGATTCTATTATAGCCACAGACCTCAGTGAGCAACTAGGTAAGATTGGAAGGAACAATCCGGCTGTAATCGAGTATCAAACGTAAGAGAGAGCCTCAGGTCGCAAGAGTGGTGTCTGTTTCGAGCAGCGTGAAAATGGATGCTGCTGCTGCGGGCGAAGCAAAGTAAAGGCGGCGGCGTCGTAGCAAGGCTGGTTGGGAGCGTTGTCGAGTCCTAGTGTGTTTTTTTCCTCGCGAGGCTGAAAGCTTTGCACCGACAGATTCGATACCTGAAAATGGAACACAAAGAAAGCGCAGCAGGTGATGCCCATTTCCCAGGCAAAAGTGAGGCATGAAGGCGAAGGGGGCAGGTGGGGGGTGAGCTGGCTGAAAGGGCGGGCCAGGGAAGATCTCCAGAATTCCAATGTCGTGTCAACTGAAGTTGCCGAATCGCGGGCGACTCGCCTCGCCAGGCCAGCTATCGGAGTGTGGGCTGCCAGAGGTGGGATGTCCTCAGTTACGGTTAGGTAAGATGGTTTGCGGTCTCGAACAATTTGTAAACTTCTTAAAATGGTTGAGTAGGGTTTGTGACAAAACAGGACTGTTCGTGCAAGCCGGACTTGCCTCCTACACCATACCCCCCCCTTGATAGCTAGCCAGCGAGTTGGTGCAATGGGGCCGACGCGAGGGTTCAACATGTGATGCGACTCGATTTAGGTTTCACGCATGCACACGTGCGATCGTCAATGTTGCACTGGTGTTGAATGAACGGTAGCGATGGACGCTTGAGATATTCTGTAGAGAGCGGGTGTTTGGGCCACTGGACTGGACTGGACAGCGTATCTACAGAACAGCTGTCCTGCCCAATCAGCACGAGGTGGTTCCAGCTAGGGTCAACGTCGATCCACCACACAGAGGCAGGAAGTCGCTGAAGACTGTTATGAATCAATCTGAGTAATAACAGGGAGTGTAATGGAGTCGTTATTCAAGAGTGTCTATACAAATGAGGGCCTACGCATTTTTAGGCACGAACAGGGCTAGCCGAGAACCACGCGAACAGGTTGGGGCGGTCCGGTTGGCGAAAGCTACGGAAGCGCCACGCGTCTAGGTTTGGGTTCGCAAAGTGGTTCTGGACCGAAGTAGTTGGCCGAGCCTGAACTTCCGAGAGTCGAGGGCGTACGTGCTGTAGTCGAGCCCAGTAAGGAAAAGGAATTTCCTTACACCCCCCCCCCCTCCCCCTTCCGGGACGAGATTACCCACATTCGGGACACGTCGTCGGTGTAAATAATCCCGAACAACTCTGTGTTCGTCGAGCGTAGCTACGAGAACCCATGGGTCGTCGTCACTCGTGCGATCGACCCATCTTACGATGAAATCAACGGCAGTTGTATCTGGATATCCTCGTAGGCGATGAGCGAGAATCTTGGACGGCTCAGTCGTGGGCTCGGGTACTGGGTTAACAGTAGGATTGATGTGTTGGCGGTCGAGATTGGTCGCGCTCGGGATAAACGGTCGTAGGAGACTGATGTGGAACGAATCATGAATTCGCCAGTCGGCCGGCAGTTGCAGCTAGGCGGTGTCTGGTGTCACCATTCGAATAATCTTGGTCGTAATTTATTTGGGAGGGGAATTGCCAAATTCTTGGTGCCGAGCAAGACCATTTGCCAAGGGCAAGTGTTAAGTCTCGGCGTCGTCGGTCAACTTGATGCTTAGCCCTCTAGTTGGCTTTGAGGATGGCCTCGGCGGCTTTTTGCTGAGACTGTAGGAGGTTTTCGATGAACTGCTAAGATCTTGGTGCCGGGTTTTCTATCGGTGGCGATAGAGGGGTTGTCGGATCTATCCCGTAATTAAGGAAGAACGGGGACTGAGTAGTCGTGGCTTATGGGGCATTGTTGTATGCAAACTCGATAAAAGAAAGGGCGTCCTCCCATTGGGCCGGGTCTGTGCACGTCGTGCGAATCAGCTGCTCCATCGTCTGATTGGTGCGCTCAGTGTGACCGTCCGATTACGAGTGGTAAGCGGTGGACAGATGCAGACGTGTGCCGTACTGCTGCCATGTTTTTGTCCAAAAGCTGGACATGAAGCGTGGGTCACGATCGCTGATGATTGCCGAGGGGATGCCATGTAGCCGCACGATGTTTGTGAGGAACAGTTTCGCTCTCTTCTCGGCAGTAATTTTTGTCTTGCAGGCGGCAACCGATCAACGACGACTAAGATCGTGTCGTTGCCGCTTGGACCAACTGGTAGGCCAGTAACGAATTCCATCGTCATTTGTTGTCAAGGTCGGCTGGGTGGCTCGAGCGGCTGCATCAATCTAATACGTCGAAGCCGGGAGGACTTCATGCGCTGACACGTGGCACACGAGGCGACCGCTGCATGTCTGTCGGTAGGTCAGGCCAGTAATAATTGCGACTCAGTAATTTAGTGGATTTGTCGATGCCGTAGTGACCTGAGAAATTGGAGTCACGTGCCTCCTGGATCAGTAAATCCCATAGGGTACAGTAGGCAGGAACCCAAATCCGATTGGTACCGGATTTTAGATAATAGGCCCCTTGGCTGACCGTCAGTTGGGGGTGACTATAAGTGGCGAAGAATGGGTCAGTACTGTATTCGTGGGTAAATAGGCCAGTTAGCAGCAGATTCGTTTGGGTAATTAGGACGGCGGCGGTGTGGACCGAGGGGCGGGTCAGTGTGTTAGCGATGTTGCTAACCCTTCATTTATGGGTGACTCTGTAATGGAAGTTTGACTTGAGATAGTCAAGCCAGCGAATCTGTCGGGGGTTCAGTGTCGGTCGGGCACAGATAAACTGTAGTGACTTGTGGTCTGTTCGGACTGTCATGCCAGCGCCCATCAGGTAGCAGCGCCAAACCTTGAAAGTGTGAACGATGGCGAGTAACTCCTTGTCGTGGACAGGATAATTTCGCTCGGCTTGGTTCAACTTCCGTAACTCGTAGGCGATGGGTTGTAGGCCTTCGCCGAAGTCTTGTAACAAGACTGCGCCAACGGCCAGATCGCTAGCTTCGGTGATGAGCTTGAACAGATGGTAAGGATCCGCAATCCGAAGAGCCAGAGGTGTAGTCAGGAGAAGTTTGAGCCTTTTTAATGCAGCCTGCTGCTCTCCCCCCCCCCTGCGAACGTGCCCTTCTTCAAGAGATCCGTGAGAGGGGAAGTTACCCCTGCCATATTTGGAATGAAACGGCGGACGTAATTGACAAACCCTAAAAAGATCTGAAGTTTGCAGAGATTAGTCGGCGACTTCCAGTCTTGGATCGTCGCAATCTTCTTGGGGTCGATTTTAACACCGTCGATGGAGATGACGTGGCCCAAAAACTCCTGTTCGTGTTTAAAAAAACTCGCACTTAGAGCCCTTGGTGATGAGTTGATTCTGCTGCAGGAGAGAGAAAGAGGCTTCCAAATCCTTCAAATGCTGCTCCCGGGTAGTGCTGTAGACAAGGATGTCGTCGAGGTACACGATGACGCACTTATCCAGTAGTGGCCAAAAATCTTGTTCATGGTCAGCTGGAATATCGAAGGCGCATTTGTTAAACCGAATGGCATAACCATGCACTCGTAACTCCCGTACCGGGTCCGAAACACCGTCTTGTAGCAGTCAGCTTCGTCCACGTGAATCTGGTGGTAACCGCCTCGCATATCAATTTTCGAGAAGAACCGGGCCCCGCGAAGCCGGTCGATGAGTTCGTTGGCACGCGGAATTGGGTAGCGAGATTTGATGATAACCCGATTCAAGGCGTGGTAGTTGATACACATACGTTAGCCGCCATCTTTCTTCGGGGTGAACAGGATTGGAGCTGCAAACGGGGATGTGCTGGAGCGGACGAATCCTTTCTCGAGCAGGTAGTCCAGCTGGCGTCGAAGTTCACCCAACTCTGGAAGTCAGCAGCCACTGGGTCCGAACCGTTGGTTGCGTGCCGGGCTCGAGCTCGATCTTGTGGTCATGCGGTCGCTGAGGTGGCAAGCCGACCAGTAGGTTATCTGGAAAAATGTCAGCATGCTTCCGAATCACGGTTGCCAAATCATCCGGGACAGCTGCGCAGAGTTTGTCGATGCCGGTTAGCGTGTCGACAGCCGTGGATGCGATCCATCGGACGGCATACAGCTGCGCTCCGAGAATAATTGCTCGCTTGATAGTCACAGTGCTGACCGTTGACGTGGCCGAGTCTTGACTGCTCCAATTGGGAAGGCGTCGCCACTCGCCACTCCACTTGATGCGACAATCGCCCGTCCGCCTATCAATGCTTGGGTTGTGCTCTCGTAACCAATCACGTCCCAGCAGCATGTCCCACCCATCCAGAGTTGTCGCCAGCATTTTCGTCGTGAAACTGAAGTTTTCGCCATAGTTGACTCGTACGTGAGGCACACGCTCCCGAATCGCCAATGGGGTGCCATCAACCAACCTCGCGTCGATTTCGGGCATGCAGCGCTCCAGTTGCAATCAAAGTTTCTTCACTTTTGTCACATCCATCAAACTGTGGCTCGCCCCACCATCAACAAATTTTTGATGCGGGTGTCCAACCAGCACAGGGTTATCAACTGCTGCATCCCCCTTATTCAGTCAGGAATGGTCGATAGCCCAAATTGGCACCATAACATGGTGGGGGTGTTGGATTTTGGGCGACACAGTCAAGTCAGTAGGCGGCCCATCAGCTACTGACTGTTTCCATTTCCCGACTGCTTCCCGTCGTTAGCTAAGTTCTTCTTTAGCTGCTAGCAGTCCTTCACCATGTGACCCGGCTGGTTGAAATTGAAACAGCATCCGGAAAATACCCAGGCTGCAAATACAACAACGCCGTTGATTGATGTGTGTTGGGGCTGGCCTCGAAAACGGTTTCCCTCCTGGAAACCCACTCTCGCTAGTCCATGTCTCGCGTCCAAGCCATTCGGGATTCAGATGATTTCGTTGAAGGTCGCCGGGCCTCGCAGGACGATCTCTTGCTGAATCTCTGGCTTGAGACCACCGACGCAGCAATCAATTTTCTCGTCGTCACTGAGCCCGCCGATTTGATCGCATAGCGCCAGGAATGAAGCCGTGTATTCCTAGACAGAGCCCAACTATCTCCACATCCAAAGCCTTGTGCGAGCGTTTTCGCGCATGGATATGTGCTCGAAGCGGCTCTTCAATGCTTCACCCCATGCTTCAATGTGGCCTGGTTTCCTCTTGGGATCTCCTTAAAGCCCCAAAAAAAAAAAAAAAAAAAAAAAAAAAATCAATGCTTCACCCCACGCTTTCCACGTGCGGATCGTGGCTGACCCAAAGATCGGTTCTGCCTGTGCCGTTGATGAACCGTTCTCCCCACCTCCCGCCTGTTGATTCCCTACCGAGGCTCCTCCCTCATCCAGATGCATGCGCCACCAGTCGAGTGCCGGTCCCCTCAGCAGTGACATAACCAAGTTGACGCGTGAAGTATTGTCATTAATGCTGGCTGCTGTAAAGAAGATCTCCATGGCGAACAACCAACCGCTCACTGTAGTGGATTTGTCGATCGGGTTGAACGGCGGAGGCATGGGTGGTTTGATTTTAATGGCCGCCCGCGGTTCGCTGTGGATTTCTTCAACTGCTTCAGGTGTCGCCGACGCCCTCGCTTCGCTCGCAGCATCTTCATCTCGGGTAACATGCCGCCCCTGACACGTTTCACCCCGCGCCTGGCGAAGCGACGAGTTTTCGTTGCACAACGTTTGTACTTTGCTTCCCACTGTCTCGAACTTCTCAGCGAGTTGTTGAAGCTGGGCTTGCACTGTCGTCACTGTAGCCGCCCTAGCTTGCAACTCATCAAACTCCTGCTGGATCACGTTTCTAACACTACGGCGGGCAGAGGTTTCCGGCGTGGTAGGCATGCTGGAAATTTTACCTGACAGATCTGAGAGTGCACACGCTTTTAGTTGGAGGAGCTTTAACGAGCTCACCTACCAACCGCTGGCCAACCCCCTATTCTGTCACCTCTCCCGATATAAAAGGGCTACTCTACGGAAGACTAAGCGGGCAGGAACCCTCAGAGTAAGAAATTGACTAGAATGATCGGGCACAAGAGAATATCACCTAAGGTGTAGTAATCTATATAAGCATTCACCTATCTAGCCTATAACATATACAAAATATATGTTGACACACCCCCTAGGCTAGACAAAGGGCAGCGACTAGCATGAGACACGCAAATCAGGGTGGCACTACTAGTCCAAACTCTGAGGCAATGGTCCGAAGACCAGTCAGCAAGAGTACAAACTAAACAAGAGTAATCCAGGGCGACACTACAAGTCTAGCCACTGGAGCACGAGCCACAAGGCCAGTCAAGGTAATATGAGATATAGTACACAATCAAGGTCCTAGGAAGTGAGAATCTACAAGAACCAGACCAAGCTGGACACAGTGCCGCTGATGTTCTTTAAGCGCAAGTGCCTTAGTAAAGATATCAGCTGTGTTGGCACCGGAGGCCAAGTGTACTACGCGCGCCTGGCGGCGCTGCTGTAGCTCGCGCAGGAGGAAGTACCGCAGTTGAATGTGCTTCGCTCTGCCCTCCAGTCGAGGCTCCTGACACAGGAGGATCATGGCCCTGTTTTCAGCGTAGAGGACCGGGGCAGAGCTAGGCCGCTCACCTAAGTCTGCGAGCAAGAAAGTCAGCCAGCGGAACTGCTGTGCCGCCATGGCACCGGCGTAGATCTCAGCCTCACAGCTAGACTGGGCAACAGACGACGAGCGAGTGGACCTCCACGAGATGGCACCCGAACCAAGGCTAAAGCAGTAGCCCTGTGAGGACCTGAGCATCTCAGCGTCGTCTGACCACAAAGCCTCTGTGTGCCCAGTAAGGACCACTGGCCTGCGTCCTCCTAGCACTAGCCCCCTACCCAATGTACTCGCTAGATAATGCAAAACCCTCTTCGTGCGCGACCAGTGCTGCGGTCGGTATCCGCCTGTCACCACAAAGCAAGCCAGGATGCTAAGAGGGTATGCGAGATGTGGACGAGTTCAAGTCAGCAGGTACATGAAGCAACCCACCACCTCTGCGTATGGAGCACTAGGCTCTATCAACTCCTTAGGGACTGGAGCCGAGAACCTATGGTCTACTGGCAGAGGTGTGGGCTGTGCGGAGGAGAACTGAAGACCAAACCTCTGAAGGACGTGGCACCAAGTGTGACTGGGTGAGAGTGATGGTGCGCGCTGCTCTGTCCCTAGAGATCTGCAGGCCAAGGTAGCGGCGAAGCTCTCCTAGGTCACTGTAGGTGTGTCTCCTCAGCAGCTCGGCCTTCACATAGGCCAATCCGTCTCTGTCTGCAACGGCGAAGACCAGGTCGTCTACGCAGACAAAGATGTAGAACGCTGTCTGGCCTTAACGAATGAAGAGCAAAGGGTCTGCAGAGGATGGGAAGAATTGCAGGTCAGCTAACGTAGCACGAAGAGTGTCGTGCCACTCTCGAGGCACCTGCCGCAGGCCGTAAACCGGGCGCCGAAGGAGCCACTGGGTCCCCGGGGGGAAGGTGCCGGTGAAGCCTGGCAGGCGACGAAGGTAGACTTGCTCGTGTAGACTGCCATGAAGAAACGCTGTCGAGAAGTCAAGAGAGTGCAGCTCGTAGTCACGCTGTGTTACTACATGTAGCAGCGCCCGAAGAGTGGTCATCTTTGGGGTCGGGGCGAAGGTCTGGAAGAAGTCCACCCCCTCGCGCTGACTGAAGCCTCTAGCAATGTAGCGCGCCTTGAACATCGAACGCTCTCCAGGAGGGCGCTTTACCTTGAAGATCCACCGGCCATTGACTTCGTTCATCCCAGGTGGGGGAACTGCGTCGACGCAGCTGCCAGTGGATCTCCAAGATGCCATCTCTGCGTCCATGGCAGCTATCCACTGAGAGGCCCAGGGTCCCGAGGTCGCCTTAGCGTAAGTGCGAGGGGACGGGATGTCAAAGGCGTCTGGATCACCCTCAAAGACTAGCAGCATGGAGCAGAGATGAGGCGCGGCCTCGGACAGGAAAGCAAGCTCACACTGCCGGTCCTTCAGGACGTCACTGCCAAGGGCATGAGCACCTCCGAGGGACGGAGGATGGGCATGGTCAGAGACCAGTGCAGTGGCGTAGTCAAGGTGGTGAGTAGAGGCAAAGTCAGTGACAGCAGTGACAAGAGCGTCAAGCCTGGAAACAGGAACACACAGGTTGGTAACAAGAGAGGCGAGGACGCGAGGAACAAGAGGACTAGCGGCACGGAGGAAGTCAAACAGGGGAGGCATTGTGACAAACAGAGAAGACGGAGGAGGCGACGGAAGGAGGGGAGGATGAGACGCGTGGGAACGAAGCAACATAGGGTGAGAGCGCTGGACAGGGAAGACAGAACGAGCATGAGAGGGACGGCGAGACTTGAAGTGGGACGGAGGCGTGGGGTTAGGAGACACAGGAGGAGACATAGGTGGACAACGCGGGGGAAAACGAGCCGGAGACGAGTTCGGCAAAGGAAACACAGGACCGTAGACAGGCGGGGGAGGCGGAGGTGGGCGGTTAGGGGAGGGAAGACCAAGGAGGTGAAGGGCAGACACTGGCCGCGACTGCTGCTCCTGCTACTCTACACCGACACAAGAACCTCCAGCTGCACAACAGCTACCTCCGCAACGCTCCACGACAGCACCCCCAGAACGAGAAGCCTCTCCAGCACCGGTGCCACCCCCAAGACCGCCGGGACAAGCCACGACAGTACCCCCAGGACTAGCACCCTTCTTAACGCCCGCACCCCCAGAGCTCGCGGACCCCTGCGGCGGCGGCGTCGGTGGCTGCGGCTGCGGCGGCGACGGCGGCTGCTATGGCGGCTACGGAGGAGGAAACACCGGGACGGAGATAGGCGACGAGAGTGAAGCTGTGGGGACCGCAGAGTCAGTCGACTCCTCCACCGGGACAACCGACGGGAGGGGAGTTACGTGAGACACACTAGACAGGGCAGGACGAGGAGGAAGAGGAGCAGGGGCTACTGGGGGAGTGGGGACAAAGAGAAGGGGCGGGGCAACTGGGAGACCTCGGTGGGGAAAGCGGGTATAGAAGGAGAGAGACTATTCAAAAGTGACGTCACGAGAGTGAAAGAAATGGTGAGACGGCGGGTGGTAAAAGTGCCAGTCAGACGCGTCGATGGGGAACCAAGGAAGACACAAGGGACGGTGCGGGCAGTGAGCTTGTCCATGCTAGAGGCACGAACGTGAGCAAGGCATCCCAAGACGTGGAACGCAGATGCATCACCAGGGAACTCGGTCCAGAGAAGGGTCGGCAAAACCTGCGGCCCCTGGGAGTGTGGCCACAGGTTAAGTTGGTGAGCGGCGTAGCG